AATAGCGTTGAACATGTCGAATTTTCTGCCTGGAAGCTACAATTTGCGGACAGCATTGATTTTCTGTTACCATTTGAAGAAAACTGCTGCAGAATCGCATCGAATGCTTGTCGAAGCTTACGGTGAGCATGCTCTTGGTAAATCACAGTGCTTTGAGCGGTTTAAAAAATTCAAACGTGGCGATTTTGATGTGAAAAACGAAGAACGTGGAAGACCACCGAAAAAGTTTGAAGACAGCGAATTGCAAGCATTGTTGGATGAGGATGACGCTCAAACGTAACAACAACTCGCGGATCAATTAAATGTGACACGAGAAGCCGTCTTCATATGTTTGAAAACCATGGGAAAGATCCAGAAGATGGGAAAATGGGTTCCACATGAACTGAATGAAAGACAGCAGGAAAACCGAAAAACCACTTGCGAAATGCTGCTCGCCAGGTACAAAAGAAAGTCATTTCTCCATCGAATTGTGACTGGCGAAATGAAAAGTGGATATATTTTGAGAATCCTAAGCGTAAAAGATCATGGGTGGATAGTTCCAGGCGAACCATCGACATCGACTGCAAGGCCAAATCGCTATGTACGGAAGACAATGCTCTGTGTTTGGTGGGATCAGAAGGGTGTGATCTATTATAAGCTGCTAAAACCTGGCGAAACCGTTAATACTGAACACTACCGACAACAAATGATCGATTTGAATCAAGCTTTGCGTGAAAAACGACCGGAATATCAAAAAAGGCAACACAAAGTGATTGGTGAAGGAAACGATTGAGGCGTTTAGTTGGGAAATACTTTCGCATGCGGCTTACTCACCAGACCTGGCTCCATCCGATTACTACTTATTTGCATCGATAGGACACGCACTTGCTGAGCAGCGCTTCACTTCTTACGAAAATGTACGAAAATGGCTCGATGACTGGTTTGCCTCAAAAGAGCAACAGTTTTTTTTGCTGTAGCATCTACAAATTGTCAGACAGGTGGGAAAAATGTATAGCTAGCGATGGGCAATACTTTGAATAAAATATTTTTTACCATTTTCATACAATAAACGTGTATTTTCTATACAAAAATTCCGGTTTCATATTTACATACCTGGTATATGTATGTACGTATATACGTATGTACGTATGTATGTATCTATGTAGAATCTACAAAAGAAATATAAATTAAAATTTAATTTGTAAAACTGAAACCAAATAAAATGTAAAATACAAAATCTCAAATAAAATATGAATTCTTTGTTAATCTTTCTAACGAGGAGCATTTTGAGCATTTATAACTAAGGTAGCTAGCATTTAGAGCATTCATCTCTCTTTCCGCGAAAGAGCTCTTGTATGACATAATGTTACAAAATATGACAAGGACTTGGATGACACGTCTGACAGCACCTTATGAGCTGATTATGACTTGGAGCATTGAAAATATGACGCGAAGCATTCGCAAATAGAAAAGAACAATGGAATTGAGCATGTACAATCTGTAAAATAAGAGCGTGTACGGGTTAATGTGTAGAAAAATTTATTTTTAATGATTTTTAAGTATATGGATTTGTTGTACTCCATGAGAAGAAAAATGCTATACCATTAATAATGAGTCCAGTCACCACCAGCATTGATAATTGCCTGGCATCTCCGAGGTATACTTTCCACTAAGTTGATTGCGTATTCGTTCGGTAAAGACCTCCAAATGAGACGAATTTGTCGTGTCAGCTGCTTCAAAGTGCACACTCTTTTTCCTCGAAGCTTGTGCTTGAGATATGCCCACACATTTTCAATGGGATTTGCATCTGGCGACTGCGATGGCCAATCAAGTGTGACGATGCCAGACTGCTCTTTCCACTCGGTGCAAAGCTTGCTCCGGTGTTTTGGGTCGTTGTCTTCCTGTAAGATCCAGTCCTCGTTTTTTTTTTTATGAAGCATCGTTCAGCAGTCGGCAACAAACACTTCTCATAAATTTTAAGCGTTAAGGTCGGGTTCCGCTTAAACAAATTCACAATTTTTTTTTCCATATTCGGCGTCACTTTGCCTATCGAGCTATGTTCTGGCAAGTCATCGACATTTTTTATCTTCTTATATTGCTGAACCCACTTAGCGACGAACGATTTTGACTTTCTCATGTATTTAGCAGCCATTGCATATGACATTTTTGGTCTTTTGAGGTGGGAACAAAGGAACACAGCCTCGTAGTGCGATGCGTATGCGGCACTCATGGCGGTTAACGTGTTTCTCAGGTTAGAGTTCGACGCCAACTGAATCTTTTGTGACAAAGCATTCACGACAAAGATTTCATCTATCGGCTCACAAAAAACTAGGACGATATTTGAAGCCAACTGCCATTTATGCCGTACACGCTCTTACTTTACAGACTGTATCGCATTTAATGATGACTCGTGTGACTTAGGTTTTTGCCTCGGGCAAGTATACAAAATAGGTGCAAAGTTTGTTGCATCATTGATCTTTATTAATTTATAACTCGATTTCGAATTGATCAACTCGGTTTAATTTTTTTACATATAAAAAAAGAAACATAAGTTTTATAATGATGACATAAAAGCCGACAAAAAATAATGAAAGAATGAAAAATTAAGTTACATTTGATCGTATTTCACAAAAATTACTGCAAAAAATCGCTTTCCAGTGAAATATAAATGAAATAAATTTGGACGTAAATTCACGGGAGAAAAATTGATATCTCAAAGATCTATAACAGATTTTTTCGATCTTCCAAGAAAGATATCTCTTGCACAAGGTAAAGATGATGTAATTTCGTGATGTTAAAAAAATTTGGATGGAAAAAATTAAAATTTTCTCGGGAAACATTTATTTGTATATAATGTTCCGCGTAAGAGAGTTTTCTGTTATCGCACACTTATGCATCCGTATGCCCTTGTTCTCTCCGGCAGATGTGTGCGTTCGAAGGATTCAGCGTAAAATTTTTGTGCGAGAGGTTTCTATTCGGTCAAAATTATTCCCAACGATCTGCAGTCGAGTTTTAAAGCGGTCAAATATTTCCGGTCGCGGTAGACGCAGAGATATCGTTTCATGAGTCATGAGTTTTCATCTAGTTCTTTTTCCATTGCACGAACGGAGATTCTTTTTGCCGTCTAACGCATTCCCATTCCGCAAACCCGTTCTGATTATCCTTTCACATCGAGAATGCACCGACAGAAACAAATGGTCTTAATCTCACGAAAACTCTAGTCATTTTCTCGATGCGATTGTATCGTTTGATCATTCATTGAAAAACGGTATCATGCATATGAGGTCATCATCGTTAATATTCTGTCATAACGTTTATTGGAAAAATAATTCTGCCGATTCTGGCACTTCTCACTTGTGGACTTCGCGATTACAGTCGCGAACGCAGTCCGAATGCTTTTTCCTTAGCGAAACGTCATGGTAAGTCAGAATAATTATGATAACGACTGAAAGGACAACATTGCTCGAGGATTATTAATTATTCCGCCGTCTGAACGATTCCGCTCTGATTTTACGATTACTTAACCAGCATTCCTACTGAATCTTGGCTCGTTCGCTCGCAGTTTGCGTGTTCTAGCTACTTATAAATAGGCTCGGAAAATTTGGTCACTCGGGAAAGTGTCCTCGCGCAAATAGAGAGTAATTTATATAGAGGAGAGGAGGGTGGAAGAGAGCGAAGCTCTTTAAACATAGAGACAGAGAGAGAAAGAGAGAGACAGTTCTCTCTTGCTACCACGACGTCGCGAGATATCACTGTCGTGCTCGCGCGAAGCACTGCGACGAAGGTAGGAAGCTCTTAGCGAACTTTCCGAGTCCGCGAAAGGAGACAGGTCGCGCGCTTCGACGTGAGGGGGGGGGGCTTCTCTTCGATGACAATGGGCGAGGATCTCCCTTCTCGCGCGTTAGAATATTATTCTCTCGTCGGAAGCGACGAAAGGAGCACTCCGAGAGGAGTGCGCGTGTTTACTGCTTTACCGTTGGATGTTCCCGTTCCTCGGATCTATCGCAAATTAGTGAGCGCGCGAGGAAGAAAGAGATTGTCCAATGGCATATCGCCGGTAACTGTATGTGCGTGCGATCGCGCCGGCCAAGAGCGGCGTTCGGTTTTTTACCGGGCTAAGAGGCGAGGCGAACGCGCGCGATGCGGCCGATTCGCCATGGAAAATCATCGCGAATGACCGAGGCGATTGCCGAGGGGGGGTGTTTACACGTCGCAGCGCGCAAGTTTCGTCCGGACGACGAAATTTGTCGACTTTGTTTTCTCGCTTGTACCTGATCCATCAAGGTAGAATCTTGGAATTTCCTGTAAAAAGAAAAAAAGAAATAGGAACATTCTCGAAAAATACAACTCCGGGGTCACCCCCGGTGATTCCAGCACCTCCGATAGAAAAATGTCGAGAAATGTCGCTCGTCCACCTTTTTTTCTACGCAGCCATCTGCAGTTTGCACTTTTGAGATAATTCGTGACGTTGTGAAATCTTAAATTATGAAATTATTGCGTTATAATTACGCTCTGTGAAAGCTATTATGGCAGCCATGCACAGCGGACGCGCTGATATTCGGTCACCGAGAGAGCTCGCTGCAATTTTACTTGACGGCCTTTGTCGCGATATGGCTCTCTGGACGCTCGGGGTGGTGATGGTGGTGGTGGTGGTATTGGTTGGTCGACGGGGATCTCGGGGGGCAGTCGGTTAACGAGCGAACTGTATCGCGTGCAACGCATATTTTTTCGAGTAATAATTCACGATCATAATTAATTAATAATGTGTTCGCACAGCCGACTCGGGATTATTAGCGTGAATTATCGCTCGCGTTCGTATTACGCGGATGTGCGGAGGCCGAATTTCGAGCGAGCAGGAGCGTTTTGGATCCTCATCTGCGCGACCATCGGCGGCCGATACTCGCGCGGTCTCGGCGAAGCCGCGCTCAAGTCGTCGCGTCAAGTCGATCGTTAATCGGCAGTGCGCGATCAACGGCACCTGAATCGCGCAACAATTAACAGCCTCGCATGATTGTTTACAGCGCCTTACGAGGGTGGCATATGGAAGGTGAGGGTTCACCTGCCGGAGCATTATCCGTTCAAGTCCCCTTCAATTGGCTTCATGAACAAGGTCTACCATCCTAACATTGACGAAGTCTCAGGCACCGTGTGTCTAGACGTTATAAACCAGGCTTGGACAGCCCTTTACGGTACGTATTAGCTCGGCCTCGTAAAACCACTCGACGAAGCCTTTAAATAGCGCCAAGTACTTTGCACAATTTTCACTCATGGCCGTCTACCGTCAAACCGTTCTTTATGGGACGTGTAAATTGGACCCGAAACGTTTTTTTTTGACGAATTATTACATCGTCATTTACGGAGACGATGGCTCGCCTCGTTCGTCCACCGTGCGAATCGTGTATTTTTCCGCGATCCGTTATGACGTCACTGACTTGTCATCGCACGCTGAAGTCAATAACAAACTGCCGCGAGTAGTTTGGCCGCAAGTGATGCAATTAAAACTGGTCTTCGCGGTCTCGACGTGTGACGAGCGACGCGGGAGGCTGCCAACTGACCACTAATGGACGTGCTTTTTTCCTGTTTCAGACTTGTCGAATATTTTCGAGTCTTTCCTGCCCCAATTGTTAACATATCCCAATCCAATCGACCCCCTGAACGGCGACGCTGCCGCGATGTATCTTCACAAACCGGAAGAGTACAAGAAGAAGGTAGCGGGTGAGTATCATCGCCGGCTCAATAACATCAACAATAATAATAACGATAAAACACGGCGAATTATTATTACGCAACTTTTACGATCGCCGGCGGCGATTGTATCATCACGTCATGCGGATCGAATAAACGAGCTTCGCGTAGCTTACTACTCGCGCTCCTAAAAACTGCGTCGCTGCAATTGTCCGTTCGACCTGTTTCTCGGCAGATTACGTCAGGAAGTACGCGACGGAGGAGGCGCTGAGGGACCAGGAGAACGGCGGCACCGGGAACGGGATGTCCTCCGACAGCGAGTCCTCGATGAGCGACTTTAGCGAGGATGAAGCCCAGGACATGGAGTTGTAACCAAATATTTTACCATCCGTACCCATATCCTTAATCTCGATTCCCTGTAAGACCCGATCGCTCGTCCTACCAAATAGATGCTTACACCCGAGACTCCGAGCCTCACTCCCGGTGACGGCGACGAGCCTCGTCGTCGTCGTCGTCGTCGCCATCGTCGCCGTCGTCGCCGCTGCCGCCGTCGCCGCTCTCGTCGTTCGTCGTACGTATGTCGAACTTCCGACGAGGAGGTGGCTGTTGTTTAGTGCGCGTACGCCCAACGGGCGAGCCAAGCCTCGGCTTGACGAGAGTGAAAGCGACAGTGGCCGACGAGGTGAAAAGGGAGAATCGCGCGGGGGTGCGCCGCGCGCTTCTCCGTTGAGGGGAAGCGGTCCTCGCCGAGCGCACCGAGGGACGCTTTCGGTCACGGTAATGTCCAATGACCCGTTGTCCGAGCTCCATTGAGTTGTTCCGTTAATCCGTTTGCTGCGTTCAATTACCACGATCACGATGATGCGCCCGTTCGCGCGCGACCAACGCGTCCGTAGACACGGACGAAACCCGCGGTCTCTGCGCATGGAGTCTGATTCTTCTTTCTCCGAGGAGGAGAACGGTGGGAAAAGGAAGGAAGGACGCGCGTATGTGTGTGTGTGTGTGTGTGTAAGAGAGGGGGAGGAAGTGATGAGGAGAGAAAGAGAGAGAGAGAGAGAGAGAGAGAGAGAGAGAGAGAGAGAGAGAGAGAGAGAGAGAGAGAGAGAGAGAGAGAGAGAGAGAAAGAGGACCATCCCTGGTATTTACGGGTCTTTATATCCATCGGTCGGTCGACGCGACGTCGATTCTCGTGATCGCCCGTAGTACCCGGCGATTCCGACATCGGTCAGGCATCAAGTGCGTATCTACGATGCGCGTTTCTGTGTGATTGAGAGAAGCGATGGTGAAATCGAAACGAGAGAATGTTTCTAGCAGTCGTACGACGAACCAACTACGGAAACAGAGCGATAGGTGTATGATTTGGGCCGGTCGTGTTCCCCCCTCTCCCGTTTCGAGATTCTCTCGCCCTCGTTTTTTTCTCGTTCTTTCTTCCGAGCACCGCAGGTGTGTGCATGTCTGTGCGTGTGTGTTGTGTTATTCGACAAAGAAGAAAAACACGCGATAATAATGAGGGATCGAATAGAAGAACGCGTGCGTGCGCTGAAAGCCCTCGTGTCGAAGCGCAGGCTGCGCGTCGTCGGAGAGAGATGCGCACTGCGAGAGATCTCAAAATGCAACGGCATCCGGCGGTCACATCTTCTTCACGACTAACGACTCCTTTGCCGCGGATTAAGTACTGCGTCGGTATCTTTGTTTAAGAGCGATATCTTCACGTTTGAAATTACGATTGTTCATCTTCCTCCTCATTACGCGGTTTTTGCGAAGGATACACTAAACGCACTAGGCATTGCTTTAGAAAAAAAAAGAAAGACGAGAAACAAGACAGGAAGACAAAGAAACGATGAGTTCGTCTTCGAAATGCTTTCATTTCTATCGGTCGATCGATCGATCGATTGATTGATTAATTGATTGATTGATTGGTAAAACCGGTACGTGTCGCGACAGTGTTGACGATTTTTCCATTAAGGCAGGTCTTTGTTTGTGCAACAATGAGAGACACAAAATGCGATGGAGTATGGGTACTAGCACCGTCTTCCTTTTTCCTGCCATCACCATTCCCAAAACGTTTCCCTCGTAGGATGCATCAACGACCGATTGCCACATCGTCGTCGTCGTCGTCGTCGTCGTCATCGTTGTCGTCGTCGTCGTCGTCGTCGTCGTCGTCGTCGTCGTCGTCGTCGTCGTCGTCGTCGTCGTCGTCGTCCACGTCGTCAGCGGTGGCGGTGGAAAAAAGATCGAATCTACCACATAAACGACCGCACGACCGCGACACGAACGTCGAGACAATGCAACCGCCGTCCAAGATGGCGCGATCGTCCTACTGGCGCGGGAGAGTGGGCGCAAACGAGACTCTGAATACGTTCCGAGCATCCTCAGCGGCTCGTTTCGAGCTTCACGCAACGGACTGGCGATACACGGAAAGGACACAAGCGGACGAAGCTGCAGAACTGTCCTCATCGTGTGTCCATCCCCCGGAAGTGAATGTAGATTTAGTCGATCCGGGAGGGTGCGAATCGGACGGCGTTTAACGTTTGCTCCGCAAGTTTTAAGTCAATTTGTATTTTGTTTTAATCTCATTGTCACATCTGACTCATTATAGATTTCGTATAGGATATCATTGTTATACATTAAGAGGAGAACGTGCATACATTAAATTGGTTTCTTACGATTTTCGAGAGATATTTTCCTTTCTATACGGGATATCGGAAATGTTCTTGCATAGAAAAAGGAAGAGCAAAAGAAAAAAGAGAGAGACACAGAGAGAAAGAGAGAGAGAGAGAGAGAGAGAAAGAGAGAGGGAGGGGGGGAGAAACGTCTTTTTGTTGAACGATCGTTAATTACACTCGCTATGCAGTCTCCGTTCAGTTCTCTCGAGTAATAGAATTAGAGTAAAGAAAATCAAAGGTCTCAGGGAACTTCGATTCGAAAGAGTTCGCGTTCGTATCTCATTGCGAGAGTCATGAAAATTGAGAAAAACTGCACGACGAATGGAAAAGGGAAAAACGCGCGGGAGAAGGACAAAATTTATTTTTTACGATTAACCGCGAGTTTCGAGTCGAGAAAGAACCGACGGAATATGGCGTAAAAAGGATTGTGTTTCGGCGCTATTGGAAAATTTGTGAACTCGTGAGAATTGTGAAATTGTACAAATCTCAATGCACACGCGCGCGCGCGCACATACACACACACATACATATACACATACAACGTACACAATAATCCTCGATCAATTAGTATCTCGTTTCGAATTGATCTCTCTCCTTTGCATGATTTACATGTATGCAATGCAATTGACTATACGTAAGTATAGACGTTATATTTCAGTGCCTTCTCACAGGCAGAAAGAAGTGTGCCTTATTATGTGGGTCTCTGTAAAGAGTTGCATTGGAAAAGCATAGTGAGCGATTACGGCGGAGCATTTGGCGTTTGAACGCGAACCTGCGAACGAAATTTATTGCGCGAATCAATGTCAAGGATGTTTTCACTTTCCAAACTAGGAAGATATATATGCCGAGAGCGATTGCCAGAGTTCCAATCATTTTCCGGTGATAATTGAATTGTACAAAACGGCGATTGAACGGAAAGAGAATGAAAAGAGATGCTAGAAAGCGCGATGAGAGAATTTTATAATCTGTTTATATATATATATATTTGTTCTCTTTTTGTTTTTATAAATTGGTCGTTTATTTTCGTATAATTAAGTAGGTTTACACATTTAGCCTTTAACGAATTGATGTAACGATAGAGCGTTTAATTTAATTATAACCGCAATACATAAGCGCATCGGGCGCGATCCAAATCTAAATCCAAAACGGGGTAACCAAAATTCAAGGCCTATAGCGAAATAAATTCAAATTTTTCTTGCAGGTATAACCGCGATCTCCGTTAATTTCCAACTCGGTAAAATTCACACACTGTCCAGCTTTCGTTGTATCACGCAACAGCTGCGCCCGCTTCCTCCCTTTTTAAAAGTTACGTTTTGCTGTTTTATGTAACGAGATGCGATGTATGATTTACATATTTACACTTTATACTATTACGATTATTTAAGACATACTTTCACAAGACATGACGCGACTCCTCAGCGAATTTACACCGCTGGCGACGCGTGTCGCAATGTATTTACCGTTTAGAAAATTACTATTAAAAATCGAATGAATGATGGAAACACAGCTTTTGTGTAACTCATTACGGGACGGTGTCGCTTCTGTGACGTCTTCTTTTAACTCGGTGCGGTGTATCCTCTCTCTTGAAAAGAAGAAGAAAAAAAAAAACTCGCCGATCGTTCCTCATCTTGTTCGTCCGTGTCATATTGTTCGTCCGGCTTCGCTGTTGTTGTCATTAACACCATTAACGCTTTTCGAGACTCGGTGTGTGCAATCAACAAAGTACCTCGCCACGCACAAACTTTTTGTGGTGCGGTTCCCGTGGGACACACACACACACTCGCCACTCGGAGTGTGCGCGTCGGCGAGAATCGCATAGACTTTATTCAGGGTGAGCACTTACTATTACAGCGGTACTTAGAAAGAGGGAGAACACTATACTACTCTCATTCGACATACGCCGTATCTCTTTCCGCCGCGAATGTCTTTTCTACTTTATTTTTGTAAGTTAACGTTAGTATAGCAGCTTTAACGCGTGTCCCGACCGGTGTCGGTCTTCGCCGGCATACTGATACTTTTAGATTTCGTCAATCGAGAACCAAAAAATCATCGTAGATCGTGCGTTTCCCGCTTGTTGATTGAGTTTGAAGTCGTGCTCTCAGATCTCACATGTTACTAATTGTATATGTAACGTATATAGGATTATTGACTAGTTATATGCATAAATATACATAACACATCATATATATATATATATATATATATATATGTATATATATATATGATGTTTCACGGGAAGGTGCTGAAACTAAAACGATTGGTTCTCCCTCCCGTGACTTCAGAAAGAGTTTTACGGTTAACGGTCGTCCATCTGAGGATCTGCATTAAAAACTACAGTTTTTAATGGGTGTAAATAAAATTTAGCAAAATGTTTGTATATCAGTTTATTTTATTGAAGAAAATAATGTTAATAATCAAGTAAGCTAATGATAAATATTTTCAAAGTGTGCGCCATCTGATTTTGTACAAAACTCAATTCTTTTACGAAAACTTGTGAAAACTTTTTCTAACATCGTCGTCTTTAATGTTGCTGACGACCTTTTTAATAGCTACTGTTTCTGGATTTCCAGCATAACAATGGTCTTCGATGTATCCCCAAAGAAAGAAATCACATGGATTTAAATCCGGCGAGTACGGTGGCCCGTATTCTAGCCCCCCTGGGCAAATTTGGAATATCCCAGATCGATGACACGAATGCGATAAACTTTACGGATTGTTCCGAAGACCTCCCGGGTTCGGTGTAGTGTTGCTCCATCCTGCATGAAATGAAATCCTCTGACCAGGCTGCTTTTCTTTGCATAACGGAAGAATTGTTTTTCGAGAAGCTGCTTGTAACTTTCACCGGTGACTGTTGATTCGAAGAATTGCAGATAAATTCCTTTTATCGAGATCGCAGCCCATGCCGTTATTTTTTTGTGGATGTAAAGGTCTAGCCAGGGAAACGTTGGGATTTTCTGATCCCCAAAATCTATAATTTTGTTTATTAACACAACCATTTAGCCGGAAATGTGCTTCATCCGTGTAAATGATCAATTTTTCATCAAGTTCTCCATCTTCAAACATTCCATTTATCGTCTTGCAAAATTCCACACGTTTCGTCATAGCGCGTTCGGTTAGCGATTGATGAGATGTTATTTTATACGGACGCATTTTCAGGAAATGTTTTAAAATCCTGTGTAACATTGTTTTTGATATTTCAACGGCTTGAGCAGCTTTCCGAATCGAAGTATTTGGATTCTCTTCGAAATAATTTTTAATATCTTCAATATTTCCTTCTACAGCTACAGACTTACTGAAGGACCTGGCTGGCATATCATGTCTACGGTCTTGGAGAGTTCCATACTGCATAAAATTATCGATAATTCTTTAGTTAAAAATAACACAAAAAATTATTTTAATGCAGATTTATGGCCAAAAAATGGAGTGACTTAACGCATAAGTTTAAATAAATAATTAATTCTAACCTTTCCAGTGTGTTTTCGCTCTTATACTTTATGTTCCATATTTACGTACGAAACCCCCTATAAGCTATACACTTTTCCTCTGGAAAAGAAGCACTCGATAAGATAGATCCTTTCTTCCGTCGTCAGATTATTTATTTTGGCGCGCACGGATTTGCTTCTACCACAGCCAGAATAAAACTGCAGACCCTCAGATGGACGACCGTTAAAACCGTAACCGACTCTGAGGTCATGGAGAGGAGAAATCGTTTAGTTTCAGCATTTTCCCGTGGGACACTCTGTGTGTATATATATATATATATATATATACATATACACATATATATATATATATGTCGTATCGATCATGTATTCATGTAACTCTATTACGTTTATGATTTTCCTAACTCAACCGTCGTCTCCGTCATCAAGTGGAATAATAGTTTTAACAATCGTTTCTTATCCGCTCCTTTTTCGTCGGCAAGTGTTATGTCTCTCCTTGTGTCGACTGATAACTTATCTCGCGGTTCACTCTTTGAAATTTATTCCTCGCGCACGACAGCTGGACTTTTGTCCGACCATTTTCGCTTTGCTCATCATATTATAATGGGGATAACTCTCTCTCGTTTTTTTTTTTTCAACGGAGAATACAAAAATATTTTCTACGATATGTGTGTGTGTGTGAACTCCGATTGGATTGTCGAGTTCAACGTTTAGGTTAATGTTAACATATCTACTAATATTTTGTTGTAATGCGATATACGATATATTGCCTATTGTGTTCAGATCTTTTTGTAACGTTAAATAACGTCTAGAAGCATATTTTTATACATGTATTGCAATGATAATATATAGCGATAGTTGCATGTTTTTTGTCCTGCATCGAATTTCATCGCCATTTAATTGTCCCTCTTTGTATGCGTGATCATGAACACCGAGAAATGAGTATCAATCGTCGTCATGATCGCAGGCTGATAATGCTTTCGTAAACTCTCGCGTACATGCAAACACAAGAAAAAGAAAACAAACGAAGGAGGAAAGAATGGCGGCTCGTCGCATATATTGACGATTTCATCTCGCAGACGGGATATGACGAAATAAGTTACGTGAGCAATTATATAAACTTAAGGGATGCAAAGGAGTCGTTACGCGCGTTACAGGAAATAGAATTTATCTCGCGACACAGCATACGTACGAGGCCCTATAGAGAATCGAAACGAGAGAGAACTTGAAACCAAACAACAATATTCTTGCGATCGATTGGCCCTCCCCGCATGTTTGACGTGTGTTCTCAGTGTGTCGTGTTGTCAATCTCAATCGCGAAAGCGATGAGCGTCTCGCCATGTGTTCGTAGCCAGAGATTGCGCCGATATTCGCGATCAAAGGCCGAGGGAATCGTTTCGCGCTCGATTTTTATAACAGCTCGATCGGCCGATACGAGAAGTACACACACGGTGAACGTTTTCAACTCGGAACTCGACGATCTCGCGACGGACCACGCGGTCTGGCGGCAGTATCGCGAGGATGACAATTTTGCGATTGCAATTTCAAGACGCGTGAACGAGGTGCGTTCGGAGCCGGGACACACATAGTCGGGTGTTTCGTTGTACGATATATTTAATTTATCAGTCGCTTTAACGTTTCTTTCAATCTCGAAACAACGCAGGAAGATAGAAAGAGAGAGAGAGAGAGAGGGAGGGGGGAGAGAAAGAGAGAGAGAGAGAGAGAGAACGCTTCTTATCGGAGAAAGAAAACTCTTCGAACGCATATTCCTTCGAGGCAGAGAGAGAGAGAGAGAGAGAGAGAGAGAGAGAGAGAGAGAGAGAGAGAGGGAGAGAGAGAGAGAGAGAGAGGGAGAGAGAGAGAGAGAGAGAGAGAGAGAGAGAGAGAGAGAGAGAGAGAGAGAGAGAGAGAGAGAGAGAGAGAGGGAGATTCCACGCGAGGCGAATACAATGATAATAAACGTCAGCTATTTTTCTCGTTCCGCCGGCGGAGCACGTTTCCTGATTTGACGTCTTTCTTTCTGCGAGGTATTAACGCTGAATTAGATAATTGAGAGGAAATGTGTGTATTCGCGTGCGCGCACGCGCGCACGCCTCTCTTCACTTTCAGATATCTTTATCGGGACAAGGAAATGGCAATATTTTTGCTACTCGTTCGTAATTATATATCGTCAATGTTATCTAATGTGCCGACGACGGCACGAGCGTAAAACGCGTTTGCAATAATGGTTGATCAAAGTTGTGTAATGAAGAGGCGGAGATACAATGTTACTAATCCGATCGTACGCGCGCGATCGAAGCTAGTTGCCCGACAACGACGATGTAATGTAACTCGCCCGAACTCCGAATTTCCGATAGCTAATTGGCAAATTGTTTAACACGACTGCGATAGCAATTCGTTTTCGTCGCTCTGTCCTCGGTCGAAATCGGACACGACACAGGCCACTCTAATCTCCCAGCTTAGGTCCAGCGATTAGGCACGACGATCTAACGATCTAACCGTACGTTTACTACAGAGTAGACAGTGGACGTCGACATTGTCGCGAAGCGATAGACGGTTGTCTTTTTCTTTCTTTCTTTCTTTTTAAACGGCATTGCGTGACGAATGCAAGTAGAAATGTGATCGTTTTAGACGCGCTCGAAACACTCTTTCTTTCTTTCTCATAACTCTCGGTAATTGAGATTAAGACAATTAACACACACACACACACACACACACACACACACACACACACAGATATACACACAAACGTTGCTTTCAATCGCAGAAAATCCGTCGAATCTCCTCGCCTGTTGAATATTTACTCGTGACGGTGCTATCACTTTGGACGATATCGACGTTTAATGTAATGGACGACTTCCACGTGTGTTATTACTGCTTACATTACTCATCGAGAGTGCGCGTGAGCATACTTTTAACCGTTTCCACGTAGATAAGCGAGACCATTTTCTACGGCGTCTGAGCGAACGAAGTAACAGGATATACGACGAGTTCTGCGCTCAATAACGTGAAATTATCGCCGCGAACAGGCGGTACTGTGCATTGGTAGAAAATAAATACGATCCGGTTGAAATGCGATTCGCGGGGGACGAAGTGTGCGGGAGAAAGGAGGGACGTACCCTCCCCCGAATAAGAAGTTTACGCTCGCTTGTGCATTTGGTATAAATGATGGAGATTCTCATATTTCGAGTGTATGACCATATAGACTGAGAAAGAGAGATGACAGCGTAAAGCGTGAGAGGAGTTATCTTCTTAGCGGTTCGCACTACAACGTGTTTTGCAGTCACGCATAATTATAGCGTGTAATTTCAGGAGAAAAAAAAAAAAAGAGACAAGCACGACCGAGTGTAAAGATACACCACGTGCGCGGAGAAACGCGCAGAGAAAAAAATTCCGTTATTTATCTGCGGAGGCACGAATTTTGTTCTCAAAATTGAAATTACCGACTTAAAAATATTCGCGATAATCAAATTAGACATTTCATCACGATCGTTGAGAATGTCGTTCGAGACATGCACTACAAACTACAAACGTATATTCGGGGGAAGGGTGGGGGGAGGAGAAGAAACCGTCGTTCGGTGCACGCCGCGAAGAAGTCGAGAGATCGAAGGATCCGCGAGGGATCGGCCGATCCTTCGATCGGCGGGCTCACTCGCTCACTAACGAGAGACGTACTTTTTCGATATAGATTTCGATATCGCTGCTAGCACTGACCCTTTTTTCGAACGTAAAACACATGTAGCGTGTCGTATAAAGCTATAAGGAGTTGTAGCTCGACGGTAGTGACGCGACGATCGTCATTAACTCTGCAGTAAGTTACCATTTTCCCCAGTGATTCCTAGTCACTGCCATGTCGATTCGACGACGATATCACGAAAGAAGAGCGTGACCGCGCGAGAGAGCTGCCGAAAAACCAAAATTTCTCCCGAACGACGTTCGGAAAAAGAACCAAAAAGAGGAAAAGAAAAGAAAAAATGAAAACAGGGAAAAGAAATAGAAGAGGAAGCAACCGCCGCACCTCGCAATGTGTTCGATTCGACTTACTACTGTTTAGCGTTCGCGGAACAAAAAAGAAAAAAAAGAGCTCTCGAGGATAATTGGCGCGAAGGCTGCTGTACTGCAGGGTTTTTCACGGGGAATCGGCGAGAGAGATATTCGTTTAATTAACCGGCAAAGTAAAGCTTTATAAAAGAACAAAAAAAAAAACAAGTAAGAGACACACACACACAAGAAATACTAATGTAGCGAGACGACTGTGGGGAAGTTTTTTGGAACACACACTCGTTCGGACGGTGATTTGTTCGGGAACCGTTTCTATGTTCCATGTACAAACGTGAGATCGAATTATTGGTGTCTGTAGAGGTACATATATTTTCTTACGGTATATGGTATAATTAGCTGCGCTGCTTCGGCTCGTGAAGGACCCGCTACCCTTGAATTAGTCACGGCGAATCGACGAATATTTCGGAGATGTTTATGACGAGCGCGCGCGCGCGCGCGTTTTCGCGAGACCATAAATGACATGTTTCTTCGCCGATCTTTTACTCCACGAAGCTCTCTCGACATGTTGTTAGACATCGTCGTTAGAGTTCCGTGAAGCCGCGCGCGTATTTACGCTCGCGCTCGCACGGAAACGCATTACGCGATTCCCTCCGCTAAGTAAAGCTCGGGGAGCTCGCTCACGAAGCTCCACGCCAGGAAATTAATTACGGCGGAGCGAGCGCGTCGTGTCCGAATATGATGCACACTGGAGAGCGCGATAATGTCGCTGGAAGATTTTTCGTTCTGTCCTCAGGTCCAACGTCGAATGAATACATCGGGTGTTATATATTGTCAATTAACGAGCTTTAGAAGTCATCTCCGACTAGCTGACGAACGGCACAGTCTCGACACGAAACAACGCCGCGCGCGTGATTTCCATCGCGTAGCTCGGTTCCAGCGGCGTACGGTTTGACATCGCTGAAGAGAAGCGTGCGGTTTACCTTGTTTTCCCCGGATTCACCGGGCTGCGGATAGTTCACGCGACAGACCCGGCGAGACAATTCTAAAAGACGAATTTAAGGGAACGGGCGCCTTAAAGCTAGATGTAAAATTTCCTTAGGTACCTATTGTTTCAAATGTATGAATCGTCTTGTGTAAGATGCTGCTACTATCGGCAGCGAGAAACTGTCGGCGAGACGAAACGAGACGAGAGAGCATGCCAAAGGAGAACGGCGAATCTATCTTGATAATCCGGCCTTTCCGAGAAAAAGTCAAAAAATGGGAAAGAAAGAAATAAAGAAATAAAAAAGAAACGAAAAAAAAAGTCGAAAGAGGAACGAAGCAAAACGAAGATGTGACAAAAACGACGATCTGCTGTGTGCTTTACCAGACAGATTTCCCGAATCTGACCAATCACACAGAACGTCTTTCTAGTTAGCACAGTGACGATGATTACGAACTCGCTGAATCCACGTTCTCATGGTTCATGAACACAATAAACATTGACAAACAATGAACATTACGCTACTATACAAATATTTATTATAAATAAGATATAACAAATATATATATATATATAAATGATAAATATATTATATTGAATTAACGATGGATTGAACAAGATGCAATTTTTTGGTACAATAAAATGAAAAGAACCAATACCGTGCGAGTATCATTGCGCCTTTGTACATTAATTGTAAGGTTTAATTTATGATAATTCATTCTTGTACTTTGACGTTCACGTAATTTATACTTTCATCATCGTATATTTGAGATTGTATATATTAGTGAATCGAGCGAGTGAAATCATGGCGAAGACGAGTGAAAACGAAGCCGCGGTATTTATAGTTTCGCACGTTTTATGAATCGTCGAAAATATTCGTGTCCAAACGAATGGTCTCATATACTTTATAGCTGCACACATTATTTGTATCTGTACTTGTATCGGTCACGTGCACATCCCATAAGTGATTTAGCGCATTTATAATTGCAAATTTAAGTGGAATCGAGAAGAATATTTAAATTTCATCCAAAAGTATATATATATCCATGATCTGACGATTTATAACGTTTTGCGAACTTACAACCAATTTTTCATCTTTCATTTTTACAAAATTCCAGAGCTCACAAAGTTTTGTCAATCACACTAAGTAAAATTATTTATAGAGTGACCGATACAGCATAATTCATATTCTGACGATTTCTGTATTATCGAAGGACGTATCATTTGCGTATTCGTCCTATATTTTGCGAATTCCGCACGTGAGACACGGCTATTCAATACTGTCCTTCGCCACGTTTCTAATCAATTCAAATAATCGAAGAACGTCTCCCGCGCGAGACGACTATCGATAATCGAGTCGACTCGACTCGGACTATCGAGATGCACCGCGCGAATCGATCGGCCGTTATCGCTGCACGTTTCTGGGCGGCACGAGTTTCATACTCGCGTGTAAGAGGAAAGGAAAGAAGGCCAAGCGTTTCATCAGACACCTTTTCGATCATTCAGACGTACATACCGACGAGCGTCGCTAACTTAACCACCGAGCATCATCACAAAGTCGCCGGAGCGGCGTTCTCCGTTGCGCTCGTACTAACCGACGGATAACTCGTCGATCGCGCCGCCGATTCGCGAAGGTGCGCGTTCGAGCGGCGCGTGCAACGCGGCGGCAGTTGCGTCGCAACCTCCGAACGGTGCGGTCGTTTTCGTTTCGTGTTCGCACGCCGACTCAAGTTGTTTCGATCGCATACGTGCCAGTGACACTTGGCGGTTGCCCGCGCAACAGGGATATGCACCGACGCTGAGAGAAAGAGAGAGAGAGAGAGAAAGAGAGAGAGAGAGAGAGAGAGGAAAGAGAGAGAGAGAGACAGAGAGATACATCACGGTCAGTCTACGTAAATCCGTCGCGCCGATCGCCGCAGCTGCTGTCGCCGACGCCGCCTCCGCCGCCACCGCCGTCGCCGCCGCCGCCGCCGCCGCCGATTTATTATCGCGCGTTCCTCGCGCGCGCGAGTTTCTTTCGTTGGACTGCGCACTCACGCACGTACGATTCGTCTCTCGCGCCACTTACGTACGCGAAAATCGGACCTCGCGCACGGTGCGTGTGTCGATCGTTGACCGTTGCCGGTTGTTGTTCGCATCGAACGCGCTTTCGCGAGCGATCGACCGGTCGGTCGCTCGTTCGTTCGTTCGTTCGTTCGTTCGTTCGTTCGTACGTTCGTACGTTCGTACGTTCGCCTGGCCGTCCGCTCATCGTCATCGTCATACATCGCGCGAAAGAAGCTGTTCCGCGGCGCGGTCGCGAGGAGACGGAAGTGTGTCGGCGTTTTTGCTCCTGCACGGGCGAGGGAGGAAGGAAGGAAGGAAGGAAGGAACGAAGGAAAGAAAGAAGGAAGGGAGGAAGGAAGACAGACTGCGACGTGTCGCTCGCGCTTCCACCGGAGCAGCGATCTCGATTCCACCGACGGCGCATCCTGTCTGAGCGAGCCGAGCACCAGGTGCCGAGAAAGTGAGTAAATATGCTTGCATGCATGTTGTTTCTCGCCTGTCCGTGTCGCCGAGTCCTGCTCCGCTTGCGGTCCTCGCGTCTCGGCGCCGCGACGCGCGACGTTCCGCTCGCGCGAAACGCGCGCGGGGCCTCTCGCGTGTCCGTCAGGGATCGCCATATTTTCGCGACGTTGTTTACAATGAGTGTTTTCACGCGAGCGAGTCGGCATATACGCCGCGCCGCAGACGCACGACGATGAGTGCGCTTTTTATCGGGCCCTCCGACCAGGCGGCGAGGAGGAGGAGGAGGAGGAGGAAGCCGAGCGCGACGACGAAGACGACACGCGCGTCGGGCGAGCGTCGTCGAATCGAGAGTGCGGCGGCGGCGGTCTTCCTGAATTAGCGATAATGAGATGCGTGCCGGCGCTTTCATATCGGCGACCGGCCGCCGCGCAAATGACGCGGGACGCATTTCGAGTACCCGTGTCGTCAGCGGCGCGACAGATCGTCGTCTAAGCGACGGCTATTATAATCGCCGGGTCGCTATCACGCGTGCGAAACGCGACGGTTCGATTATCGGAGCAGAATGACTTTCTTCCGCGCGCGCGACGCGAAGCGGCTCGCTCGCTCGCTCGCTCGCTCGTTCGTTCTTTCGCGCAATCTTTATTTTTAAACGCGCCGTGCTCGTGTCCGATACTGATGGCGGACGACAGCGTGTTTTGCTGCGCCGTTGTCCGAGCGAGCGAGAGCACTGGTCGAGCAGACTGGTTTATCGAGAGGCGAAGCTCAGGGAGAGACAGCGAGAGAGAGAGAGAGAGACAGAGAGAAAGAGAGAGAGACAGCGAGAGAGAGAGAGAGAGAGAGAGAGAGAGAGAGAGAGCGAGAGAGAGAGAGAGAGAGAGAGCGCGCGTCCCTTTCGAAATAGGTCGGGACGGGCTCGCAAAGTGGCATCGTCCGCCCTCGCGGAGCCAGTCGAGACAGGCGAGATCGTCTTTTGAGTGCCTCGCGAGAGCCGACTATTTCCGATGTTTTCGCACGTTGAAATTAGAGTTCCCGGAGTAGCGCGGAAACGCGGTGACGGGGACGGGCCACTTGGAAAAACACGCGTGTCTTGTGTACACCGCGTTCCCCGCTAACGCTAATTCGCTAGTTCGGATTCGCCGGCTGGAAGCGCGAAATTCGAGCGTGCGATCGGCCGTCTCGAGTAGCAACTTTCCGTCGAGGCGACGGGACTTGATTACCCAGAGCGAGAGAGGTCTAAAAGTGCGCGTTTCGCCGGTGCTTCGTGCTTATCGGCAACGCGCCCGACATACGTTCATTATCACGTACGCGGCTTTTAGACGCGCATTTACGACGGTCGGGAGCTGTGAGCGCGCGCGTGCGGAATGTCGGCGGAGCGTGCGCGCGCGCGAGTTACAGCGAGAAATATTTACGCTTCGTATTCGGCGCGCGGCCTTACGACGCCTTAGCTGCTTAGAACCGTGTGCGTGTTCCGCCAAGCATAACAGCTTTTGCATATTTTCCGATAAGACGTTCCGATGAGAACTCGCCCGTCCGCTCGGCGCTCAGCGCGCGCGCGCGCAAAATGGTATTACCGTGTTTATTTTCATCCGGTGGGAAATCGAGGCGTCCACGCGTAAGCATAGCCGAGCGAGAACGATGCGATTGAATCGCTTCGATTGTTTTACGTCTCTCGCTCGTAATATTCGGCAAGATTGGACACAATCTCGGCGGAGCGGCGCTCTCTTGAAATTCGCGCCGGGTCTCACCGAGCTGCGTCCAGAGTTGCCAACTGCTCGGTTTTGACCCGGACTGTCAGAGGTTTTCAGAAGTCTCGTACCCGGTTAATCGGTCAAACCGGACGTCACATGTCCGGTTTTTAGGTTATATTCAATCAATGGAATGAAAGTTCAGATTTCAGCAACGTTTCTCCGTTTCAAGCGCCTACAAACGATCGGGCGCCACGAAAAGCCATCTAGTGGGTGATCTGCCGATCCATCATTCCATATATATATATATATAAATGTTAAAAAAGTAATAGTTTATTATTTTATTCAATCAAATCTTGTTTATAAGATTGTTTGGAAATTAATATTGCGAATAAATTCTTGTCATATTTTATATTTAATGTAACGTTATGATCATTATTTCTGTCCGGTTTAGTTCGGTTTGGATTTGTTACCAGAGAAGAAATGTCCGGTAATTTTAACTTTTGAATCTGGCAACCCTAGTCCAGCCCTAGTCCTCGCGCCGCTGCTGTTTAACAGAGCACATATCGCGCCAATTGCCCAGCGGATTGTCCTTAGTCGTTGGCGTTGGATCGTTTGGCGCGGCATTAATGGGGACCATTCTTCCGCTCGCGAATCAAGCGATGCTTCCCCCGAGTCTATTATTCTGGCTTCGTATTAATCTCACGAGTTCCGTCGAACTTGGCGAACACTACGAGAGGGAGATAGATAGATAGATCGTTTATTAATACTCCGGGGAGCTCCTTAGGTTGACATAGGAATTCAGGTATGCATAGACGGCAGTGCAGAACTTGTGATAATGTAGAACATTAGAAAATACAATGAAATGAAATAATGCGAAGGAGCCGTAGAAATGAGAAACTTCTCAAGGTAAAAATAAAGATATATATATATATATATATAATAGAGAATCGCAAAAATGCAAAAGAAAGAGCGCAAGGTTTTAAGAATGCAAGAGAGAGAGAGAGAGAGAGTGCCACGTTGTAACGGGATGTTTACCTCATCCATGAAACTGGAATGTCCTTAAGAAAAGATTTGCTTCAGGGTTATTTAATATCCGGTTGTCTCAACATTCTACCTGTATTTGATCTCCGATAGGTAGGAAAATACCGCGCAAAGGACAGCGCGTCGCTTCCTGACTCTGCGGAAAAGGAAGAAAAGATGTACGACATCCTGCGATACAAGGATGCACGGTAGGATACAGGTAGGATTAGAAAATGCGACGCGCGCAGTTCGGGGTCGAATACGGAACACGTGCGGGCTGATTTCCCTAAAAAAATGTGGAGTAAAATTTTCCTCAATTACGAAGGTCGTCGGAGGGACAGAAGGGGGGGGGCGCGGTAGAGAAGAGCGTTCGTCTCGTTTTCGCGGACGGGTGTTATCTTATTTTGGTTCCGAGGATCTCCGAGTATCGATTGAGTTTATTCGGGTCGGCGGGGTCTTTATTACAGCTCGGTGTCAAAACGGATGTAATACTTTATTGACCGACCGATGTCGCCGGTGTGTGTATTGTGTGGGTGTGAGTGAAACGTACTCGACAAATCCACGAGGGTTAATGACATTGGTGGCGCGGGCAGCAGGTCGCTTCCTCGTTTACCTCGCGCGTTCAAGTTCCGATAAGGCGCGTTGTGTAATGCGAGAGTGTGGCTCGCCTCCAACACCTGTCGACCTTAAATGAAGTATTAAGTCGATAGCGGTCGTTAATCGATGTTAGCGCCGAGTCGATAAGAAGATAATAGATGCCTCGAGGTTTGCCTCGAGGAAGAGAAAAAAAGCGGCAGTCGCCCCCCCCCCCGTCCCGCCTCCTCTCGGCTATTCAAATATCAAGCACAAAAGGTGTCAGCGTCCAGTTGATGTAATTATACGTTAAAAACGTATATTTGCGTGACGATGAGTTGCGCGAAACGCGACCGAGTCCATCCTGAAGCGAAACGGCTCTTAACATTTCCTTTTTTCTCACTCGATAAAACATTCCGGCGCGTCTCTAACGGCCGGCGAACACGACTCGTTGCCGTCTCGCGGAAGGACGCATGGAAGGATCCAACACGCGCGAAATGCGCGCCGCGAAAGGAAGGACGACTAAGCCGTGAAAGCTAAACAATTTTCTCGACTTCTTTCGTCCGCGTCGGCGCGAGCGAATATTTTTAGTACGACATACATCGGCGCGTTGCGCGAGGCCTCGGGGCCCCCGTTGCCTTCAAGGATGATATTCTCAAATGGAAAGGATATCGCACCGCGCGTGACTGGACGTAACTCTCGTGCTTGTGAGACATGCGAAATTGGCTCTCTCTCTCTCTCTCTCTCTCTCTCTCTCTCTCTTCCTCCCTCTGGACTCAATCCCGACGTCCGCGATCTCTAATCGCACGTATGCATAATACCTTCTAATGAATTCCAACCAACGATGACATGGCCGATGCCTGATAAACCGATGAATCGCGCGCGAGATCCGGGAATTACGTCGGCACTTTCATCAAGCAGCGGGAGCGATCGTTCGGTCCAGCGGGAACGCGCTCGACTTCGGGGTTCGGCGGGGCAGCGAGGGACGACGCGAAGAGTGACGACTCGCGACGCGACTTTGACATTCCCCCCCGGCTGCGTCGCTAGAGAGAGAGAGAGAGAGAGAAAGAGAGAGAGAGAGAGAGAGAGAGAGCGAGCGAGCCGCTTGCGTAACGCATGAAAACCCGATATCGTGCCGCGTGTGAAATTGTACACCGCGCATGGCAAGATGGCTTTCGGGGCTTTCGGGGCCGCCTCGGCGAGAGATCCGAGGTCAAGGTGTGTGCCGTAGGCTGTAATGCGTCAGGTTGAACCCGTCGACTCGCTCGGCGCCGATTGCGCGCCGATTGCGCGCCGATTGCGCGCCGATGACCCTGAGATATTAGCCTGAGATATTGCACTTGTCACGATGACGAATGAATGCCGCGAGCGAATCGGTCGCGTCACGTGTCTGCATTTGGATTCGAGTCATTGGCGACGCGTATTGGCCTCACCGCGCGAGACACGCGAGCTTCCTCTCGACTTGAATCTCGCCGATCGACGTGGAGGAGGAACGACGCGCGCGAGCTTGTCGAAATGGCCCCCATCTGAGCCATTCTCGCAGCATCCGTCGCGAAGCACAATGGGCTCTTCGTTTTTTAAAAAGTCACACACGCGCCGAGAGTTTCCTCGTTTCCACTTGTCAGTTACAGCGAACGAGCTGTAACAGTAATTGCCGCGATTACATCAGGAGGACGCTCGTGACCTCGGGGTTTTTGAAAAACGAGAGATCCCAGCTGTCTGTCTCTTTCATTCTTTCGAGTCCGGAGCAGATACATTTGTGCGAGAACGCTGCGGCTGGATGAAAGGATGAAAAAGGACAAATCGCAGAGAGCCGCCGATCCGGCTTGTAATTCCCCGTAGCGTGATTGAGTCAGGTCTAATGACGCGTTTACTTAGCCGGCGGATCGCCGGGACGCACAGACAGACGCTCTATTTTTTTCCCGTAGCGAGAATGCGTTCGCGTTAAACGCTGCTCCGAAGATCGAGACCCGCCTTCGTAAACGGCCGGGAACATTGCGGAGTTCCCCGCCGCGCGAACGCACGGGGGGAACTTCGCCGACGTTGATGCGGAAGGGAAACTTCTTCCCTAGCAGGAAAATCAGTCGATTACTTCGACACGATGACTGTCTCCTCGCGGCCGTCGTTGCGTGTCGCTGTGTGCTATGTATCTGGTGCGTGCGTATGTGTGTGTGTGTGTGTGTGTGTCGGTATACGCGCTGCGCGATGCGTGCCCGGGATCATATTAGATGTCGCCGTTTAATAGCGCCGTTTTGTTCGGCGTGTGCGTGTTGAATAGCGGCGGAGTGGATAGAATTGCATGCCCCCGTATCGCGCTGCATCGATACGGTTTCATTAAGCGATATTGATAGTCAATTGGCGGTTTATTGTCCGCGGCGAGTCCATCACGCGCGAGAGGGCGCTCTTTCCGCGCAACGTCGCTCGCCTCGACATCCTCGCGGAAGAAATTAGTCGTTTCGCAATCGGGAATTTCGGCGTCGATAGCGGCCGAAACGAGCGCGGGAGAAGGCGGAAGAGAGAGAGAGAGAGAGAGAGAGAGAGAGAGAGAGAGAGAGAGAGAGAGAGAGAGAGAGAGAGAGAGAGAGAGGCCGAGTTAGTTCTGCCGAGACGCTTTGAAATTGCTTTTCAGAAAGAAATGAGCGGCGAGCGGCGTTTATATCGGAAGATCGAGAGCGGTAAATAAATAAACGAGGCAATTGAACGCGACTCGCGATCCGAGTTAATTCGTCCGCTCTCGATCGTTCGATCCCGGCAATGTAAGACGAGACGCAATTGCCTGCGCCAGTCGAGTGAATGAAAAAGAGAGAGAGAGAGAGAGAGAGAGAGAGAGAGAGAGAGCAGCGAATTTTCATGTGAAATTTGCTCGCGCCGACGTGCATTTCATGTATTTCATCGCATGGTTGAAAGGATTCTCGTGTATCGCGTTGCGCGCTGCGTGTCACCCGCGTGCGGCAGCGATTGTTAAAATAACATTTTAGTGTGTTTTCCCGGCGCGGAGGTTTTCCGACGATAACGATCGGTCGGCGGAACGGGGCGGAAAAGCGGAGAGAAAAGGAGAATCGTGCACGGCGCGCGATTATCATCGATATGACGTTTTAATGAACTCCATCTCGAATAGTTGCGCTGTGGTGGGATTCTTTAACTCGTTAGTGGAGTCAACGACAGTTTCGTTATCGTTGCGCAGCTTTTGTATACCGTAGAGATCCAATAACGAGTTAAAGAATCGCGCCGCTGGTACAATAACTGACCGCGAAGTTATCTAGCGGGTTCATCGCTTGGCACTCGCACGAACCGATCTGTTTGTTCCGCAAACGCGTACGCTGTTCCCTCGATATGTACCTTTTGAATGTCAATGCGTCTAGCTCCGCCGTTGATTCTGCGTCGAGCCGGTTTTCTCCCGTGAGAGAACGTACGCGAGAAAAAATCGCGGGATTTGCGAGACTTGCGGAGATTTTCATTCGCGAATCTTGGCGAGAACGTCGCGAAGCGAGGCCGAGATCGGCGGGCCGTTCTCCGTGAATGCTTGTCCGCGGACAATTGCAAACGTGCGATGATCGATCGCGGATACCGCAGAGCCGATAAAAACAGACAACGACCAAACGAAAGCGGAACAGCGTTCCCCGCCACCTTGCGATCTCTCTGTCACGTCCGGGAGCTATTAATAATTCGCGCATCGTCAGGGAATCTCCTTGGCACGCATCGGGAACGCTCGTTAACGCTTCCCTCCGTGAACGGCCGCGCGATTTATTTACTCCTTCATCACGCTACCGGCCTGAGAGACAGTCGTGAATCTTTCAGCCGGCGCTTTTCTATGAATGAGAATCTAAAAGCAGCGCGTCTCTCGCGCGTACGTCCGTGAATGAGGTAACGTGTGTAGCCACGTAAGAGCAGCCGGTAGCTCTCTCTCTCTCTCTCTCTGTGTGTGTGTGTGTGTGAGAGAGAGAGAGAGAGAGAGAGGGGGGGGCGTGCTACCGTGTTGTGTGTTGTGCAGCCGCTCATCTAGATATATACACAGTGCCTATTTTCACTGTCATTTCAGAGTTCCGCCTTGAAACGGAAATTTCGCGTCTCGGCGTTCACGTGCAGCGAGCGAGATTGCGCCTCGCACGCGCGCGCCGACGTGAGGAGATAAGTCTTTTGTGTGAGCGGACGCTCGGCTCGCCCGAGGCGTCTAATTATCAGCGTCGTTCCCCTCCCGCGAGATCTACATCGCGTTCTGATCTCGTATGAAATGGTCGTCGGCGTCGAGGCACTCGACTCATCGATTTCTTCCGCAAAGCTGCACTTGCTGACCGGCGGTTGCACTCACCCGTCGCTTGGTTTGTTGTTTACGCGGACGCTAAGGTTAAGGGTCAGTTTAATCTAAAGGGTAGTTCCAATAAAGTCTCCTCCCCCTCTCTCTCTCTCTCTCTCTCTCTTTGCCCGATCGAAGACACTCGGATGCAGCAGGTGAATTTATCCGAGACGCTGTAGCGCGCGACTTGTCAGCAGATTGCTACCGGACGATTCCGACTCGGGTGAGAGAGATTCCACATTCTCTCTTGCGAGAGGCATGGATATAACATGGTATATATCTCGCAGATATTTGTTCGACGATAGGCACGATGCTTCGAAGAATAAAAATGTAGCGGTGCATCGCTGCGAATTTCGAAGAGACGTTTTCCGGTTTCCAGCTCGCGAGTTTGAATACGGTCTGACGACGACGGCGAAGAATCCGCGACTTGACGCTTCGCGTTGCCGCATATAGAAGCCGGGCGCGCCGCTGCACCGCGTAATCGCCGAGCGAACGAGACTTAATTGCTCAATAGTGCCACCACGCAAATTGCTGGATGAAGTTATCCGTCTAATAGATCTGACGGGACAACAAGCGAGCCGTGGGGGGGGGGAGTTCTTCGTGTTTCCTCCGCGCGAGGGCAGAAATATTTTGCGCGCGCACGACGACGACGACGACGACGACGACGACGACGACGACGACGACGGTTTCTCGGCGATATTTCGAGTTTTCCGCGCAGGATTTGCGATTGCGAGCTATTCGATCATGCGAATTCTTCGCTGTACACTATACGTTCGCGTGACCGCTCATATGTGCGGCGAACGTTTCATCGAGCTCGTCTGAGCGTCTCTGCGAAACGCGAGCACGATGAATAAACAATAGCCGAGTCGTACGGTTCAGTTGACTGCTAATCGTGAGGGCGCGTGCGAATAAATCTTCATGTTGATCTGCGTGATCGCCTAGCTGTCTAGTAGATCGACACTTGCCGAAGACCCAGCGCTAAGATTTTCCTCTCCGTCTGTGTCAACGCGAAGCGTCAAGTCAAGCGGATTTCTCGCTGTCCGCGAATTCAAACTCGCGCGAGCCGAGAGATGAGAAGCCGCGATACTGGAAAAACGTCTCTCGAGATGCGTCTCGTCGAGAAATTCGCAGCAATGCACCGCTAGATCTTTTTTTATTCTTCGAAGCATCGTGCCAATATATTGCCGAACAAACATCTGCGAGATATATATACGTTTATTCGAAAATATAGTTCTCCGCGACCCGACTTCCTTCGTTTCTTCGTCGCGGAGAATCGACGACGACCTGCGATCGGAGCTTGAACTTGATATGTTTGTATGAATATACGTATATTTGCAATATTTATTTCACGGCTATACTTTGCCGCGTCGTGCGTTATATTCATGCCGATTCGTTTCCGCTCGGCCTGCTGCCCCGCTCGGCGTGCGCGAATTTTTAGATTCGCGCGAGCGGAAGCTATTAATAGACTTGCCGAACGATTTCTCACCGCGCAAGTGCATCCGACCGAGTCGGATGCAGTTGTACAGTCAATCGATAGAGGGGCAGGGAGGAGGCGGAAAGCGCACTTTGCTTCTCTCGACTATATCTCGCCGATGTTTCATCGGTCGCACAAGCGTCACCTGTCAACGTGGTCGGCCGGCAAAGTGGAAAGAAGTTGTGTATCGTTGACGCGCGTAGTTTTTTCCATTGCGTAATCCGGCCGGAGGCGCTTCCGTTAATCCGTCGCAAAAGTGCCAGTAAGTCGCCTCTCTCTCCGATCTCCCCTAATGATTGTTTATTTTCACTTGCAGCTACAGCCATGAATAATTCACTCGGCTGAAGCGGCCAACGGGAGTTTCTCGGAATTTGAGGCGCCGAGGGAGATCCTGAGGACGGCATCGAGATGGGCGAGCTTTTAGGGTCGGCGAGCTTCCTCCACCTCGGCGATATCGTCAGCCTCTACGCCGAGGGAAATGTGTCCGGCTTCCTCTCCACGTTGGGGTAAGTGAGAGAAAGAGCGAGGCGAGCGCCGGGGGGGGATCTTTCTCTTTCTCTCCGAAGAAAGAGAAGGAGAAAGGAAGATCCCCTCAGGTGTATTTAATCGCGTCGCGGCGCGCTGGCTCTGTTTTGCGCGCGCGAGTCGTAACACGCGAACGGTATATTTTCATACTCTTCGGCTCTGCACTCGGGAGAAACGGACGACGAGGCACTTTGCCACCCGGTATTTACCTTCCCGAAGAGAATCCGGACAGACGTTAGCAGACGCAGCCGAGACATCAAAGAGAGAACTCGGTCACACGGCTGAATCTCGCGAGTCAGTCGTAATTGAGATATTATCATGCTCTCGTCGACAATTTTCTCTTCTTTTTTTTTTAATAGCGAAAACACGCATTTTTCATACGATACAGTATAATGTTATACTTGACAGAGATGAATTGCGGCCGCGGCGCGATTAACGGTCGAGTCCTCGACTTTGAACGGAGCCGATTTGATCGGCGAAATCGGTGCAACGCGATTCAACGCGTTCCATGTTACAGGGCGTGATTATTTACTGCGACAAATTCTTCGTAGATTTTCGTTCAGCTGCTTCGTCGTGTTTTCGAGTCTTCGAGCCAATCTAGATTCGTGGAAACCTCGTCGTTGTTTGAGCCGTTGTTCGAGCCGGCGAGAAATTCAAGCAGCCAGAGTCTATCTCAATAGTTCGCAACGCTCGGCTCGCTCGCGGGAAGCCAGACCGGCGCTTGTGAAATCTAGCTTACTTGCTTTCCACGCGCGTCTTTGACCTTAGATATTTAAATATTTATCTGTCTGCATTGTTTGTATCTTCTCTATTCGAGGATACCGACGACTATCATTTCCGTAGTCCTCCGTTTTTTCCAAGGATACCGACTTTCCCCTCAGGGCGTCGTTAAAAATTTTCCCGTTTTGGCTCTTTTATGATCTTGTAATATTGTTTATAATACTTGTACATTATTACGTGAAAAATGACTGCGCGGATAAGTGAATGCTCGAGTCAAATTTTTTATTTTATATTAACCCTGTGAATTCCATCCTATTCAAAAGACAGATAAAATATCCCGAAATACATTATGTGTACAAGCTATTGTTCCATTTTTAATGCTTAACGAATAATTTCTTATTGTCTTTACCCTGGTAAAGAGAAACATAAATAAGATCTTGAAGAAGGGTTGCAGGATTATTTAATATTTGCTTATCTCAATGCTCTGCTACATTTATTCTAAGCTCTTAATCTATTAATAAGCGGTACATTAATTACATAACTCAACAGATAGAATCTAAGAAGCAAATGTTAAATAACTTGATAGAAACGAAACCTAATAGAAACCCAATAGAGAACCTGATAAAGGATAGACAAACGCGTAAGAAGAAAGAAAGACTTTCCTTCCTCATAATATTTTACTTTTTATTATTTTTTATTATTAAAAATTTTGATGAGATTTCAAAAGGATGAGAAAGCAATCCTGCATCCTGTATTCCGTTCTGGAATCAGCTCGTGGTTGTCGTCGTCGATGTATAGTTCCGCGCGGAAACACCAGTCGATCGGAAACGCAACGTTAATTAGCGATTGTGTATCGATCGCCGAGTGCTGCGGGCGGAATTAGCGTTACATACGGCCCTGCCAACTTCGATGACATCTTGAAGGTGCGCGATATTTTTGTGAATGCAATTGTTATGATTTATTTTTCGCTCGCCAGTTTACGCATTTTTTGTTGTCGGGCGGGATACTGCTGCTGATTGTTTCGCTAATCTCGCGTACCTTTTCGTGACCGAGTCATTGCGTATCACACCCGCGAGCGGCATGCGTATACGCAGCGATGCGTGTCGCTGGATTAGTTATTAAATTCCTGTCGGCGATTGAAATGTTCAAGTGCGCTGTCGTCAGCGCGACGTTAATTGATATGTCGTTAATGTTTTCCGATCGTTTCGTATCTGTGCGAAAGTTTGGTGTAACCAAATGTATACAACTCAGCAGATAGAATGTAAGTAGCAAATATTAAATAACTAGATAGAAACGAAACCTAATAGAAACCCAACAGAGAACCTGATAAAGGATAGATAAACGCGTAAGTAAAAAAAGACCTTCCTTCCTCATAATATCTTACTTTTTATTATTTTTTATTATTAAAAATTTTGATGAGACCACGATGGATAGCCGGAATGATTCGCCTGAATCGTAAGAGGCAGGACGAAGGACACGAGGCAGGATACGAGAACACGGGCAGCGATATATCGTATATTCCCAAGTATTCAATTGTTTCCTACTTCCGTCATATTGTATCGTATTTCGCAAATAATCGTTCGCAATAAAATCGTTTAATCGTTTCTTGTATAATTTACTGGGTGTGAGGAAATGCGCCAGTCGCAATTAAAATCGGACTTTATTTTCCATCATTATTTCACGTATCCGTAATTCTGCAAATAACGAGAATAACAGTAATAATAATAACAATGAAATCTTTAATTATTCATTATCTTTTTTCGAATTTCTAATTATTCATTATTTGCATGTAATTCATGCGAGTAATGTCGATTCACGACCGAGCAACTATGTATGAATTTATAAATTAATTGCTGTTAATTGCTGTCAGTGTCCTTGATAAAAGATTGTGTGAGAATAATTGAGCAAATTTATTAACGTCGTGCTTTAACACGTCGTGCTCATTGCGTGTACTTTGTCCGCGTTAAACGTGGGGTTGCATCTCTCATTGGTGTTTCCACATCTCACGAAATTTGCAGAGTTTCACAAAATTCCGCGAGTGTATAAATTATTGATTCTGCTCAAGCAAACATGCTTGAAAAAGATTGGATATTGACGCTCTTCGCTCTGCGACAGCGAACGATGAGTGTTGACGAGGCGTCTTCGCAGGTGTTTATTAATATCTGTCTGATTTCCGCAAACGCGCATAAGTTTTGCCGAGCGAACTTTTCCGCGTGTGTGTACACAATGGTGAGGGTTTTCTGTCCTTCGGAAATATCGTATTAAAAGTTAATGGTGGCATAATGTTGACACGCACACGCTAGAACGTAGTCTCGCCGTAGTTGATTACGGGGGGTTTTCACCGGAAGTGACTCTCTCTCTCGTGCCGCCTGATAATGCATCGCGCTATCGTCATGTAAACAATAATAATCGCATAACATTAAGTTATTACGCTCGTGCATACGCTATTCGCGTAGACGTGTCGTATCTCGATCTTGCCGCGCGATTTTCAGCGCGGTGTAAGCGGTCGCTCGCCGAGCTCGTGCTAGATTTGTATCAAAGTGCAACCCTTTTTTCACGCAACAAGTGCCGCGCACAGAAGGGGGATTATGCTTCTTGTTTATTCGTCACGCACTGATTCGGCAGGAAGCCTACGCTTTCCTCGCTCTGCGCTTTACACGCGTCTGATGCGTTAAGCATCCTGCCGGCTCTCACGCTTGACGACGAAGTCTCGAGTTTCACTCTCGAACGAATTCATATACATATTTCTTTTCCTCCTTTCACGTCGATACCGATATTCGTCGCTTAATTATATTATTAGCTCATATTTGACATCGAGTGATCTCGGCCGGAACTTTAAATATCGTTAGGCTAACAGGTACGCTCGAGAAAATAGGTCTCGAGATTAGCGTCGCTTGGATTTAATATCATTGAACTTGGCATTTAAAACCGGCTAGTTTCACATCTGACATTCAAGCAGGAGAATATCGCGAAAAGATATTTCAAGCATTACGTATTTCACTTTTTCATCAGTGCGCTCTACGAAGCGACGGAGCGACGCTTTTTACTTCTCTCGTGCCGCCGCGATCTCCTTCGATTTCCGCGGATTCGCATTTCCGACTAGCACATTTCGCGCGTGTGTGACGGCAAACATCGCACGGTGGATAAATGCGCGTTACGAGCAGCACGCGCTCGTAGAAAAAGCGTTATCGCGCCGCGGAGTTTCGCTCGCGTCGGCCAGGAGGAGGAGTGGTCCCGCACCCTAAGGTGCTAAGTTCTCCTCCCGGACGTTGAAAGTGAGGGACTCGCGGCCGTCTCTCTACCCTCGATCGCACTTTGACATTTTTCAACCGCAGCCCGCCCGGCCGCCCGTTCCCCGTGCTGCTGCGGACTGCGGGCGCGGGAGATTTCACGGAAATTTATGATAACGACGCGCGCATAATAGCGTCGACTGCAGAACTTTTCATTTCCGTCGTCTGCGAGAGGTCGCATCTGGTGTTAAGTTTCTTCCGCGTCGCGCGATATAGTGAACGTTGTTAAAGCGATACGCTCTCCCGTCTCTTGCGTCAATACGGGTTTCGCAGGCGGCGTATTATTAAATTCGCATCTGCGTATAAGGGAGAGACAGAGAGAGGGGGAGAGAGAGAGAGAGAGAGAGAGAGAGAGAGAGAGAGAGAGAGAGAGAGAGAGAGTGCGGAGGAGAGAAAGAGCGAGAGAGGCACGACGGCGATCGATGAGCAATTATTTCATCCGACTTTAGCAACGTCGTGACTGCTCGTGTGGATGTATTACCCGCGCACTGATGAACCCCCGTCGTCGACCGACGTCACACGGCCGGCTAATAAGGCGAGATATCTCTTTGTAATGTGACGACGTGCGCAGATTTTTCCCTCCAAAGGGTACGCGCGTGTTTTACGCCGGTGTTAAAATATCTACCTACCTGCGAGCCGATATATCCCCGATCTTGCCCCGATTACGAGGCATGTGTGTGTGTGTGTGTGTGTGTGTGATCGGAGCGAATTGCGCCCGTGGTGACGACCGCGCATACGCATGTCGATCGCGCTCCGCTGATACGAATACGACGATTGTTATCTCCGTAACGCGGCTCGCACGCGACGCTTCCTCCGAGCCATTCGCTTACCGTGAATTCTGCTGTCGGGTTTGGGTGATTTTTAGAGAAACGATGGAGTTGTTAGGGCAGAACAGGAGGGGGAGAGAGAGAGAGACAGAGACGATTCACTCAATGCTCGCGAAAATATTCGATCAAGTAACGTTGCCGCTC